GGCCCCCCCCCCCCACCCACCCCCCCCCCCCCCCCCCCCCCCCCCCCCCCCCCCCCCCCCCCCCCCCCCCCCCCCCCCCCCAAATATTTCAATCCATTGTTGGCTGAATCCGTGGATATGGAACCCACAGATAGAGAGAGCCAACTGTATTTTGTTTCCCGTGGTTCTTTTCCTTAAACCTAGTGGTGCCCATTTCTCTCAGGTAGATATTTTGGGTATCTGTCTCCATAAGGTCACCCATGTATCTGCTCAGCCTTGTGACTGCTCTACATGAAACATCCTAACTCTTGTCTCAGGAAAAAAAAGCTGTTTTTACTAGAAGAAAAAGCTTTGTACAGAGGTCTTAAGCTCATTAAACCTCAGCCTCCACATCTGTAAAATGGATATAACAGCACCTGCCCTTCGAGGTGTTCTAAGGACTAGAATTGATGTGATCCACGCAGCACTTGCCAAAGCCCCTACATCTAGTGAGCCTTCCTGTGCCTGCCCTTCTAAGATCACAGTGCCATGTGGTAAATGGAATTAATGCCATGCCAAGGGGACTACAGGGCACAGAAGGGCCTGAGCCCAGCTAGGCAGGAAGGAGGACATCCCAGACTCCACACCTGAGCTCACAGACCTCTGTGCTGGGGCCAGGAAGAAGCAGGTGGGACAGAGCAGCAGGAATGCACTGAAACCTAAGACCTACCCCAGAGGAAACAGTAACCAAAATGATGTCCTCGTTTGGGACAAACGGATTTTCCAACATCACAAACTTGCTTTTAAACATTTTTTATTCACAATTGGGATTATGCAAAAGCAACTCATTTCAGTCAAAATAAGTCATTTCGTCATTGTTTTAAAAACAACTGTTGAATACAATACAGTATGAACAATAAGTGCACATTTTATGCTTCAGTCATCTTCTTCCTCTTCTGCTTTCTTCTTTCTGGAAGGTTCACCTCCTGAGCAGATATGAAAGATGAGATATAAAGATCAATATAAAACATTCCTGGAAAATTTATCTAAAGTAGTTCTGAGCTGGGGAGCCAGCTCTTCACATTAGAACTTGGCTGCCCAGCACAGTTGCCCCTGGGCAGTGGTCAGCGCAGGAGGGACTTTCATTCTATACTGACCAGTATTCCTATCATATTACTTAAAATCCCTTCTCTGCTTCGCCAGTACTTCACTTCTTTTTTCCATGTCTAAAATTCAGTATTTGAAGGCCTGTTGATTTTTAAAAGGGTTGCTTGTGTTTTACATGCTTTTTCAGTAAGCTTTTAAAGTTTTAAATATATAAGGTGTGTGTGTGTGTTTGTGTGTGTGTAGAGAGAGAAAACAAATGCACAAGTGACCAATGTTTAATTAAACATTTATGTGATTACAATGTTTATTCTCTGTATCTCTAGAACCTAGAAAGGAGAATAAGTGTCCAGAAAACATGGAATGAATTAATATGGCATATGGGTAATAACAATGATTCTCTTACATAATTAAGGCTTAAAATTTCTTTGTACCTGTGATCTTATAAGGGGAAAAGGAAACAAAGAATTAAGGGAAAAATACTTTAACAACATGGAAATGAAATAACTCTCAACTACTATTATATCCAAACAATAAAGACACCCAGCCTCTCATAATGAACACAATAGACCCCTTGCTTTACCCACACTGAACTATTTGTAGTTTTCTAGAGGAGAATTGGTGTCACAGGGCCCTGGGCCTTTCCTTACGGGCCTTTCCATCTACCTGGAATGCCCCACCTGGCCTGCGTGCCCGTGAACATCCACTCCTTCAACACCTCCATGCAGCCTTCCAAGACCCACATTAGCACAGGTATCAGACCCTTCTCTGGGCCACTCCTAGTCCTATTACTGCATTTATCTCACTGAATTTTGGTGAAGCGTGTAGACATTCCTCTGCGCTCCTGGTCTGTGAAGTCCTTTTTATTCCTAGGAGTTGGCTCCTGGGCACAGGGTAAACCCCTAGAATTGAATAGATTTGGTCTTGCCTCATCACTGGTGAGTTTCTTTGCTTTGAGTAATCGTTGAGCTTTATTTTCTGATCCCTCATCACTGTCTGAGGAATAAATTCTGGCTCGTTCTTCTGAAAGCAAAGGAATTTTAGACATGGGATTGATCATCAAAGATGATTATCCATTTAGTCCTGCATTTTTCTTCTGCTGAATATTTTTAGTTCCAACTGTACATTTTTCCTTGAGGAGCCAACATTTTTTTTTTAAGTTTGATGGGAACATTTCAGACATGCAAAAATGACAGATTTGAGGGCCGGCCCGGTGGCGCACTGGAGAGTGTGCCGCTTGGGAGCGTGGCGGCGCTCCCGCCGAGGGTTCGGATCCCATGTGGAGGCCGGTTCCCGCTCACCGGGTG